TCCCTACAGGTGCTGAACATTTTTTATGGGGGAGTAGTTTACAGTACAATGCCTAAATAAAAGCCAAATAAACAGGATGAAATTACAAAAAGAAATTACCCACAACGAGAGCAGACGATTCTTCGTTAGATGAGGACACAACAACTTGGAAACTCTGAAAATATTTTGCCTAAATCCAGAGAGAAGAGTTAGTTGTTTGGTCTATTTCCCAATTATCAGCTCATAACACAAGTAAAATGCCACACAATCGAACAATATTGATTGTTACACAGCTTCTGTAGATATTATAGACTGTCAGCTGGCTGAAGTCAAATATATTTCTTTGTAAGGGAAGTGTACATACACATAGAAAAGTAAAATATCACCTGTGTCACCCAGTCATGATGAACCTTCCATCTGACAAATGTCACATTTGGAGAGAGCACTGCATTTTCAATCGCTATGTTGGGCATGTTTCTCATCCTTGGTAATTTATTCCACAATCTATAAAAATAGAAGTTTAAATGGGCAATCAGGTCTGAAAAAAGCTGTCAGTACACTATAATAATTCCTTTGATTGGTAAGGAACATATAGGAAGCAGTATAATTCCACCACATCTATGAAGTGTGTGTGTTAATATGACTGATACATACAGTCTGTTCCTGTGTAACCAGAACAAAATAGCTGCACGATTATCATCGTGAAATATGTGCCATGAATCAAACTCATGTGTTCCCATGTTGAATACACTAAATGAAAAGTATGAAAATATGACACAATCAGACTCCCAGATGTTTTTCTACCCTGGGAAAATGATCAAATTAAATTGTTTTTAAAACTTCAGAATAACTAAAAATTATTACCTTTTCTCAGTGAAGGCTAATTAAAAATGAAAAATATCTACAAATGAATGAACTCCATTCCAGTCCTTTTAATCCTAAATGTAACTGAAAATAAAACATAATTCATTATGCTGCTCTAAGTGGAGTATCTATCTGTCTACAAAGCTCAATATTTCTTATTTTTGTGACATAATAAAGAGACTGTTGCTCTGTACTGTAAACAAAAAAAAGCTTAATAGGAGGAGAAAGTTTGAGTCATTGCTAATGTGTATAAACTTAAAAATAAGTTGTGTGCTTGTTGACAAAAATGTAAAAAGGAAATCATAATCTGCATTGAATAAAATGATGTAATTTATGCATCTAACTGAGCCAGTCTGATTTTGTCTCTGATGTGGCTTTTAGTGTAAAATCGTGCAGTGACTACTGTAGTTATGTTACTCAGCAGAGTCCCAAAGGTTTTACTCATTAGTGCAAGTGTTGTTTTGTTTATCAAAAACTCATGGGAAAGCTTTTTGTTTCTTTTTTCACTAATGAATTCCTTGTGATCAACCAACACCATGATCTGGGAAGGAAACAAAACACAAACCTGACTGGCTGTTAATAATTGTTTTCTCCCTCAGGCTCAGCTGAGATTTTGTTTTGCTTTGTTTTGTCTTATTTTTGTTGTTTTTGGTCACCTTGATGTTTGGAAAATCTGAGTCCAACCACTGGCTTTGAGCTGGAAATATCACTGGAAAAGATACTCAGAACTCTATTATACCTTAATATTGTAAAAACAGTGTGTACTGTGTATGCAAATAATACCTTAATAATGTGTTTATAATATCATGCTGGTGTCCCCATGTTCCTCTTCAAATATTACTGAGTAACAGTGTGTATTATTGTTATCAAGAGTGAATACATGTAGCTGTCTTTAGTTACCTGAGGGTATCTCCAACAAAGGATATTAAAATGATAGTCACACATCCCTGAACACAAGCACAAAAGTGAAAACCTCTTCCATTAATAGTCAAGTGACATTTAATGAATGATAAACAAACAACTTACCTCTGTGTCTCCATAAACAATACAACATTTATCAGGACCAGTGTAGCTTTAAGGAAAAACACAAATTTATAATGAAATTGGGGCTTTTTGGAACATTTACTAGATGATTTTAACATAATCATGTTTGTTACTTACCTGTAGTCTAATGTCAAAGGCACTGTGTCTAGTGAACTGATCTGGCAATAAGGCTCCAGCGTGGAAAGGTCATAAAGTTGGATCTCTCTGTCCCTGCAAGACCCACGCAGCATAGTCAGGGACTGGCAGATTACAAGAGTAATCAATGTATTCAATAAATAATCCAGTGTTTATGTCACTTTGTTACCCTGTTCCAATCATCAGCTTATTGTACTCTGTCATCAGAGCGAAATCACTTGCCCACTTTGAATTCCTGTTTACAGGTCCTTCAGTCTGTGGTAAATAACAAAGCCATGTGTTAAAAATAATTTCTTTAACCTACAGGAGGTGCACCTGCATGAAAACGGCTATCCAGTGGAACAGACCTGCAATAAAGGCCTGTAAATCTTAAACTGTGTCAATTTGAGGTGTTGTGTCAAAGAACAGCTACACTGAAAATAGCTTCAAGTGTCACACGGTCACACTGGGTGACATGTTCTTTCATTATGATGAACACACTGTAAGTTATTTTGAGTGAATCTGGCATACACTGTCCTGCCACAGCAAAAACTCACTAAGGCAACAAATGTGTCTTGGCCAGTCACTAAAAATAGTCCTCGACGAATGCTGCAGCTCCCAGCTATTGATGGCCACACACAAAGCATTGAGACGTGGACTACCATATTGCTGGTTTTGGCCTTTTCATGGGATGTATTGACAGTAAAAACATACTGAATGCCAGCAGATTTATCCTTTAGGTATTCAGGTAAATTTACATACAAACATGCATTTGGTTTTCTGGGGTTTAGGTTCAGGGCCCCAAAAGCAAACAGATCCATCCTCTCGCACTGTTACGATGGTGTCATCATGGGTGGAGTGGATGTTGATGATGGGAATGCCATGACCCAAAGCCCTCATGGAGGCTGGCAGAGTTAAAGCCACTCGCTTACTGCGTCTTGCAGCTTCCTCCAACTCTTTGTACTCCTGCAGCATGTGGGTACAGAACTGACCCTGCAACACATCACTGTGTGTCAGCAGAACCGTTAATGGTAAAGTTGTCCATCCTGCATGTTCATAGAACTGTTATCATGGTTATATGTGTACAGTTGCAGACTTATTCTTTGACTCTTGCAATTAAAAAACAAATCATACTCCAATGTTACAACAGATGCCTACAGTAGAAATATTTTCTAAACATTTTTCTAAACAGTATTCAGCATTGAGGAAAAAGACTATTACTTGTTAATATCAGTGTAGGCTATTACTTGGGAAACCATTGCCTTTGAGTTATTGTACAGTCAATTTGGCAGTAGAAAAACTGCATTGAGGTGAGGTCCAGTTATACTTGGTAATAAATCCTAACTTAATTACAGTAGCCAAATAATCCAGTGACATTGCACAGTAGGCTAATTTTTATTATTGTAGATTCCTGGTATTAGCATGCAATTCATGCAGTTTCCACTACACTGAATAAAAGTGAATGCTCCATAAGAAACAAATGTGAATTTCATCTCACCCATGAAATCCTTCCTTGGCCTGAATAATCAATCTTCTTAAATAACCCTTGAATCTGTGCATTGCTCTGTGAAATTCAAAGAACAAAGAGTGAGGTAGTACAGCTATGCAAAAGGAAAAGGTTAGTCTTAAATTTCAAAGAAGTGAGATACTAAGAGCACACAGATGAGAGAATCTGAGACAGAGAAAGATATAGTGTACAGAGAAATGTCACGCTGTCTTACTGTATTGGGCAAACCCAAGCACTTCTTCACTATATGTCCAAAATTCTTCACATCAATGCACCTCAGGCCACCCCTTTCAAAGTCCTTTGTAAAGAAAAATACAGTCAAATCTTCCAGAAATAAAAACCCCACTATCAGTGTGTGATGTGTTTCATACAGTACCTCAAATGCTACTTTCAGTTTCTGGAGGCTGTCGAGTGACATCATCTCATTAGGCTTATGAGAGAGAAGCAAAACAGTGATTATGACATAAGGACATTACCCACCATGCAGGTTGATTATGAATATTATAAGAAAAGAGCACAATAATTAAGTTTAGAAAGGAGATATTAATAGTGCATTTTACACTGAACACTGTATAATTATCAGCACATGATTAGGGCTCCACCTCTGAATATTAATGACTGTCTGTTATGGCCACCACCTGCCACTGACTATGACATGTCTCTGAGATGCACAAGGCTCTAATCTCTATGTTCATGGCCTCTCTTTATGCTGTGGTTTCCAAGCAATGGGTTCTTGATCCATGACACTCTTTGATCTGTAATTAATAAATACCAGGGGTAAACTGCATAATCCCTCAAGGATGTAACTAGAGTCAAGGTTTCTCCGCGGTTTCTCCTGAAATTTCGAGATAATTGTTTAATCAGTCAGAGTGATGAAAGTCCTGAAAGTGTTCACCTAAGCTCGACTGCTTTCCAAATCCCTTTATTAGAGCTGCATAACTTGACTGAGCCTGCTCCCTCTAATCTGTTATGGTACATTACTCATTACATTAAGCAGGAGAGTGTGACTGACATCTGCAGTTGAAACCTACAACCTTCAGTCAGTCCATGTGCACCAGCATCCTACATCATTCTATCATTCTTGTCAGCTTGAAAGCTTAAATTTGAATCCACTGGAGCCCTTTAAAATACTTGGCTCAGCATCTGTTTGTTTTCCATTGGCCTGAAACATGGCCATCCCCGGGCTCTGGGATAGATTGTCCTGCCCAGTGTGCTATCATACTGTGAGTAAATTGATCGTCAAATTGATTTAAAATGGCACTTTTGGCATTACCTCACATTCATTTTGCAGCTGCTGAGATATGAGCTGAAGTTGAGCTTAAGCACTTTGGAAATAGCCTGTCAACTGGCAAGTGTAGCAATGCAGTACTCTAGTGACACCTAGAGGCTAAAAGCAGCAACTTTATGAAAGTCAAAGCACTAAAATCATCTAGATTTTGGACAACTTTTCAGAGATAGCTTCACAGGTCATATTTACTCATCAGTTTTCACTTTCAAGATAAATATTTTGAAAACTGCACCTTGAGGCTGTAGAGTATGTGAGTCAAATCAGTACTGCGGTGCTGTCGGCTCATGATGTGAGCCTTATCTCCAAGTGTGACACTGTGTCTTCGCTTGTTCTGTTTTAGTAGCTCTCGCACCAGCCAGTCTGGCTGCTCCTCTCTGGCCTCACTGGTATTCTCTTGTCTTAGTGCTGAGAAGTCAACTGCGACTTTCTCACCCCGACATCCTGGCCCTGAAGTGTATCTCATCCTGTCCCCTGTGACCCCCAGTTCAGAGAGGATGCTGGAGGAAGATAAGAGATGTCATTTGGATTAAATGCTTGCAGTGTTACAATATGTTGTTATTATTGGTAAATGTTGCAGGAATGTTTGTATCCTTAATTGTCAAGGTTATAAACTCTCTAAAAGTAGAGCCAGTGAAAACTACAGTCAAATCTATTTAGCCATTAAGAATGTGATTAAGAGTCCCAGGTGATTAGACTTCCTGTATTACACTGTAACTACTCAGTGTTGCCACAGATGGCAACTCAAGTCCCATGACAACTGTAAACATTTTCTAAGCAAGACAGACACGAATACATGACAGAACAAGGTCTCAGCCTATAGTTTCATTATCATTTGTCTAGAGGTGAACAGTGTAAAACAAGATAAAAGCAAATTTGGTATTAAGTTGGAAAGGCAAAAAACAACATGATACTGTGGTAAGGAGAACAACAAAATAACAAATTACCTGGTCACATGTTGAGTTTCCAGTCTTCCTGGAGTCGAGGAAGAGCGAAACCTTTTCCCCAGTGGCATCCCTTTTAGATGATGCGATGAAAACAAACAAAAAAACACACACTTTAGTACAGCACTTTTCCTCAGTAAACTCGACCGGACAGATCTGTCATTAGTCCACCTGACACTCACTCTAATGTTACACCTGAGCACAGCACATGGCCCCACGGTAACTAAGAAACCACAAGTGACAACTGAGACTGCAAAACTAAAAACAACTGACAGACACACACCACTTTGTCACCATGTTAAATCTTCTTTAAAGCTAAGAACATATTGCTGTGTTTACATTGTGCTTTAATCAGTTAACTGTTGTAGCAATTTTCAGGTAATTATAGTTAAATTCATGTCATTAATGTTGATGCATTTTTACATTTTCATTATAGCTACTACACTATGTTATATACATATTCCCTTTGAAAAGCCTTGGAAAACAGTATTTCACAGTGTAAAACGGAGTCAAATAGTGCTACTGCTGTTGGTATTCTGTACAGATAGAACCCATTAAATTAATGCAACAGGTTTTATTCTGACATGTTTATCAATCTGCACCCAGACTGCAGCACATCAGATAACAGAACAGGGGTGAAGAGGCGTGAACACAGATAAATATCCTTTCATCAGGGGAGTTGATTAATTATCACAACACACACAGCAAATTAATTATATAAGACAATGTTCGTTTATTAAGTACATATTTTTACATGAAAATAAATTACATAACATGACAAAATACAAACACAAATGAACACACTCCTAGCGTGAGCAATCGGAGGGGGTCACGGCCAGCTTGATATCCACTCTGGTGAGCAGGAGTCAAACACAACAGCTGGAAGTTTATTTAGCTTCTCCCTGTTGGTTAGTTAAGTAACTTAACTCAGAACACTTTTTACAGCCTCTTTGTCTGCAAAGTCAAAAGACACAAACAGGCACTGAACATGATTTATCGGTCAGATCAGTACACAACCTGTTATAATGCTTAAACATTCAAAAATGTAAGTTGATGCTAACCTTCAGGTAAAATCCTGGGTAACTGCTGCAGCTCCTGGGGCAGCGAAGACTTTATCACAGAAACCTTACCGAAAAACCTTTCGTAGGTTGTCAAATCTGATCTTTTCTGCCGAGTATTGACGTGCCTTCTTACGACAGTTGGAACTGCAACACAAAGAAGATGGTCAGTCTACAGACATCATTACTGCAACAACCACTGATATGTTTGTATGCCTTATCAGTGTTTTTAACTTACCTATACCACAGAAGGCCACACTAGGATCTGCACTGGTGCTGTAGTGAGAGTGACTGCCTAGCAGTCCAGGCTTTTGCTTTGGCTGGCGGCAACTGTCCCTCATCTCTGTATCAGTAGAGAGCGGCGCATGATGGCCACCGTGCAGAGGTGCAAGTCTTCCTTCTGAATTATTAATGTGATTGTATCCTGTCAAAAAAGTTCCACAACAAAGAAAAAATCACTGAGAAAAAATATTATGATGGTTTTATCTGGATGTGCCTGAGCGCTTGGGTGTCTTTATTTCAGCAGTTCTAGCATGCTGACATATAACCCTGACTGACCCTGTCCTACCTTGAGGCATGCCCATGAAGTCACATCTGTAGGTGGAGCAGTACTGTCCTGTCAAGGCCTTATGGAGCGCCCCTTCAGATGGGCTGCCTTTCCATGTAGACTTAACATACTCAGGGCTTTGTGTAGCATCCCTAGGCATTCTCCATATCATAAAAGACTTAGGAAAAATAGCTTGATTTAAAGGTCATGATACACTGTGAGAAGTCAACCATGGCATTCAACTTAAAATGCAAAATTGAGGCTAACACAATCTAAGTACTAACCTGGCTGGGATGTGGGTTGTTTTTCCTCTGTCCTGAGGCTGTTCCTGTGCGAACACATTCAGCTTTACAGGCTGGCTTCCAGCAAAAGTCCTTTTTGTACACAGTTGAACCAAAAGGTCCAGACAGTGAACACGAGTCTACAAACGATGTTGACAATGGACGCCTTCCATATGCAATAACACAGACATACAATTACACACATGCCCACAAACAAACACACAAATGTTGTATGCCATTCAAAACTTCACCATAATATGGCGTGAAGCCCATAAATACAACTTACAGCAGAATCTCTGCAGATGAGTTTGGCCAGTAGACAAAGTGTCTTCTATGTGATGTTTCATATGGATCCCACCACTGTTTACCCTCTATAAAAAAAATCTGCTATTAGATCATAACACTCAATTCTTTATATCCAACAGCATATAGGAGCCAAAGCAACACAGATGCAAGGGGATATAAAAGGGAAATTACATGTGACAATTACATGTGGGTTAGGGTTAGGGTAGGTTAGGGAGAAGGGTTAGGGTTAGGGTTGTGTACAATAATATTCACAGTGCTCTAAGTAAACTTTTAGTACAACCACAGGAGGACTCTGCAAGCATTCCAAAATAATACTGCAACATTATTCAAACTAAAATAATGCAACATAATAAGATAAACTATAGTGTATTGCTATAAAACAAAAACAGCACATTTTGGAAAATAACTGGATGTTTGCTAAATCAAATGTAGCATAAGTTACTTTCAAGTTGATTAACAAGTTTTTTTTTCTATGTTTACATGCATGTACCCATGGTTTGACTTTACCTTTGGTTTCCATTGTTGACCAATGTTTGCAGTTACAGCTGTTTTGGGTGTAATGAAAACCTTTCCATTTCCACTGTCAGATGAGCGTTTCCTTCATGAATTACTTGCTGAAAAGCATAGTTGGTCCAAAAGCCTAGGTGTATAACAATTAGAAAGTTTTGCTTTCAGGTACTGGCTTTATCTGTACAGAAGCAGAACTAATGTCATGTTTCTAGGTGCTGTGGTTATGGAGCCCTACAACAATTGCAGGGCCACACTGAGCTGCTCAGCAGGGGAAATGCATTAAAAATTTAACATTGCCAGAGTTTGTTGTTGTCAGTGGTGGAAAGTAATTAAGTATAGTAGCAATGCTATCCTTAAGTCTAATTTTGATTAACTTTATAATTTCACTCTATGTTAATTAACCTTCAACTCCACAACATTTCAGGGAGAAATGTTGCTCTTTTAATTAAACTGCATTTACTCTATACAACAACTAGTTATTGGTTACTTTGCAGAAAAACAGGTTTTATAAAAAATAAAAATGAAATCCTTCAAATGAAATGTCTTATTTTCAAATTCATTCACAAAATCACCCCAACTTATCTAATATTCTTAATAGTTCCTAATGTTTTACAGAGGCAAGTACAGTATGTTTTCTATAAGATACAAGGTGTGCTTCTAATTTAGTTAAATTACATCTTCTTAAAGTAGAATATACTTTTAAAAAGACAATCTCTGCTTTATATTTTTGGAATGCCATATCATAATTAATAAGCTCTTTGGGGCTTTGTTACTCTCTTTGTCTATTCCAGTTTCCATTGTAGCCTAAGTGTCATTGGTTTGACCGGCTGTAGCATTATATGATGCTCCCATGTTAATGCACAAATAACAATAATCCAAAATTACCATGTTGCACATTACAATAAGACTATAAATAAATGTTATGCATTTGATATTTGCAGGGCATTTTGTTGAACATAAGTATCTACTTTTACTCGTGTAGCCTACTTAATGGAGTAATGGGCTACCACATTGTCAGTACTTTTACTTATTCCACCACACAATTCTGCACTTGCTTCTCATCCCATCTTCACTCTTGCATGTCTTTATTCCTTCACTGAAATAAAGGCAGTGCCTGTTTGCCATTCACGTTTAGCGCCATCATTCCGGTTTGGACAACCAGGAGTACAACAAGCAGGACTGAGACAGCGAGCATCCAATAAGACACTTCAAGGAGTTGGCAGTAGCCAATGTCCGACAGCCGGAGCCCAACACACAGGATAAACACAGAGGGATCCTCACACCCAAAAGACCGCGGAGTGACGGTGCTAGTCGTCCCATTGTTTGAGACGTACCGACGTACAGCTGGCCTTATATAGCGTCGTAGGGGTAAGCATTATAAATGTTAAGTTATTATCACAGTGACTACCTGTTATGAATGAAACAGTGGGCTGCGAAATGATTTGCACTGTATACACTGGCGCTGTACATGTTAAGTTGCATGACTGAGCTGGATAGGATGCTAACGGAATAAAGCGCCCGCTGATGTTTCACAGTCTTGCTAACTTAGCTACCAAACACCATTATTAGCTGCGGTCATACATAATAACCAGGACAAAGTGCGTTGCACGTCAAAGGATAACTCTCTGAATGGCCAAGTTAACTTACCACGACTGGGTTAACGTAACGTCAGCTAATGCGTTACCATCTAACAGCGCCGAGCCTGCCATGTTAGCTCTAGGTTAGCCGTGGTGCTATCATAAGAGCTAACGCTAGCTAGAAGGTGAACGTAGGTTAACACCGATGACAGGTGCTGAGGCAGCACGGATGCGTTGATGCAGACGGAGCATCTTTCCCCGTCACTTTCACTGAAACTTTAAATCCAGTAGTTGGCGTTATCCAGACAGGCCTTTGAGGCTAAGAGTTAGGTCAGATGGCTACAAAAACCGGGGGTGTGTTGAGACAGCGCGCTAGGCATTGTTAGCAGTGTAATCAGCCATTTTAATAGTCGTCTCCTGAAATGAGCTTTGTGGCATGCCAGCTCCCTGAAGTAGCTAGCCTAGCTAAGAGGACACAAAGCAAGAATGGAGCCATGATGGCTAACAGCTAGAGAACAATCAAAGGCGGTGGAGGCTTATGCTAATGTATTCACACCATTATAAGCCGGCTGCACTTTATATCAACTGGACCATACTGGATAATAATGATAATCATATACTGAGCCGTTTTTCACTAGTTTTGTACTGTATCACTATAAATGTGTGCTGGAATTATAGCACTAGTAAAGTAATGTGTAATATTAAGAGGAGGAGCATCATGTTGGCCTCTACATACAATTGATCATCAGTCACCCAAGACACCCTCCTCCCACCAGCCGATTTAAACAAAAGATGGAACTGACAAAGCAGCAGGCAGACAATTGACTGTGGGTATTAAGCTTCTCCTACTGCGTCAGTAAGTGATCTTTGGATGCATTTTTCTCAAAACATTTTCCCTTCTGTTTAGTGAGCCAAGATGGGGAAAGATCCAAAGAAGCCGAGAGGAAAAATGTCCTCATATGCCTACTTTGTGCAAACATGCCGAGAGGAGCACAAGAAGAAACATCCTGATGCCAGCGTCAACTTTGCAGAGTTTTCCAAGAAATGTTCTGAGAGGTGGAAGGTGAAGTTACTTTCAATATAATTTTTTAAAATTGTCTGAATTAAGTATTTTCTTTTAAGCACTTTAAATCTTTTTAAACAGCTTGTGTTATCCCATAGACAATGTCACCAAAAGAGAAAGGCAAGTTTGAAGATATGGCTAAACAAGACAAGGTGCGTTATGAGAGGGAAATGAAGAATTACATTCCCCCCAAGGGCCAGAAGAAGAAGCGATTTAAGGACCCCAATGCCCCCAAAAGACCACCGTATGTATCATAATGAACTTGCTCCACACTAATAAGCTTTTTTTTTTTTCCCGTTAGGTGCCAGGTGGATTATATCTTATGCACTGTCATTTTTTTTTATTCCCCACAGGTCTGCATTCTTCCTGTTCTGTGCAGATTTTCGCCCTAAGGTAAAAGGTGAGAATCCTGGCCTTACCATTGGGGACACTGCAAAGAAGTTGGGAGAGATGTGGAATAGCTCATCTGCAGAAGACAAGCAGCCATATGAGAAGAAGGCTGCCAAGTTGAAGGAGAAATATGACAAGGTGACTAGCCATTATGTAATTGAACCTAGTTCTTTTGGTCAATTTCATAAACATGACTGTTTACTGAATCGGGTTTTACTGTTAAAGGTGTAAATTTGTTTTGTTTTTTCCTCCTGTAGAGCAAAAATGACTTTTTTTTTTTTTTCCCCCCTGCTTTCCTCAGGATATTGTTGCTTACCGCACAAAGGGCAAAGTGGATTCAGGATCAGCAGCTGCAGCGGATGATGATGAGGATGATGAAGAAGAGGAGGGCGAGGAGGAAGAGGAAGATGAAGATGAGGATGAGGATGATGAGTAGATTGCATAGGGATGGGACCTTAAGTTTTGTTTATGCCATATAGCCCTAATATACAAAATTCACCATCTTGAAACAAGTCGGAACAAGAACATGTGTATATTTAATGTTTTTAAGATGTACAGTGTTATTTTCCTTTTTTGTAAAGTTAACACTACATATCTTAAGTTTGGGATTTTCTAGTGGTAGTTCTTTATCCCTGCCATATGATGTAACAGTGTAGAAGAACTACAAATCAGTATGAAAGTAACTAGTGTTTAGGTGTTAAAACTCAAAAATGAGATTTCTGAGTTGCTAGTGTTTCTTCATTTTGAAAAATATTTTTTTATGTGCTGTCCCAATGTCTTTTTATTGTTCTTTGAATACCACCCTAATATCAAATGCAGCTGTCGACATTCAAAAATGTCTTCAATAAAGGGTTTTTTTGTTTTGTTTTGTTTTTTTTTTTTTTCTTCTAATTTTTGGTGTATCAGTAGCTATGGCTGCCAGCCAGCCAACATGGAGAAGATGTAGCTAATTAACTACACATGAATAATTCAGACACTGGGGTTTGAGGCTGTTTATTTAAAAGGTGATGCCTGCGCAGGTGAATAAGTACAAGATGACCTGACAGTTTTTTGTTCACATTTATCTGGAATAGTTAAATGTATTTTAAACTCTTGAAATGAGGACTATGTTAACTTGTCTTTTGCCTACAGTTTTCTGATGCTTTGTAAAGGGAGTGGTACTGCCTGTCAATAAATATTATGTGCTTTATTGAGGAAATGTTAAGTCAGTAAAACAAGAATCGGCAACAGAATGAAATGAAAAAAATGCAGCCCAGTATTTGTGATGCTGACTTATTTTGTCCACCTTGGTAATTAGTGTGTGTAATGTAAATTAACTGCCAGGTTTGTGTCCCCCCCTCCCCCATCTCTGTTCATATTGGAATCCTAAATCCAGAAGGTGGCGCCATGATGACACAAATTGTACAGTTAATGTGGTTAAAAACCAAAATGGATACCAAAAACTGTTGCAGTGGGGTGACATTAGTCAGACATAAACAATACATCTCATTGAAAGCTACCAAATTTATCTTCTATGTAATACTGAACAAAATCAGCCTGATAGTCAAAATTTAGAATAATTCATCCAGAAGCTTTCATTAGAAATTAAGGACATCATACTAAAAGAAATAGTCCTTGAATTATCAATGAGCATTAAGCCATGAAATGAGCTTCATATTCAGTCTCACCTCTAGTGGGAGAACAGTAAACCTGCTTGTTTCGACAGCTAATTGTATTTTACTTGAATGTAACCACACACACAGAGAATGTTGACTTTTGGCTGTTATGCAGTGCATTTATTGTTTGTCTCTAAATGTCATCACAGATGCACTTTACCAACAACACAATCATATAACAATTAGGAATGACAAAGATGAATTAGAATCGTCGACATGTGGAACATATCTAAAACAAAAATTCAGTGCTGTGTGCCTATTTTAAAAAGTGGTTTTTGTGTTTTGTGAGTGCATTAGCCCAGCGAGTCTGGGCAGGGACCTTTTGTGATCCTGTACTGAGATGGATTTCCCTCTGCCTGTAATTGGAGACCATCTCACAGTAACGGTGGCCTCACAGTCACTTAAAGGGGTTTCACATGTCCATTTATCAGACTGTTCTCAGCAGCGTTGCCCTTTGCTGTACAAAGAACTGTCCTCATCTCAGAAGTGAAAAAAATGTGGGTGAAGTCACGGTGGGATCCTTGCAGTGAGTCTCAAACAGAAACTGGCTTTTATCCTCAGAAGTGTACCAGTTACAATATATATTATGATAAGTAACTCGGTAAACGATGCATGTAATCACAGAGGAAGAAATTTATTTCTGAATAGCAAACAAGCTTTTAGCATTATTTATGCAATGCTAGTAATAAACTAACTGTATACAACTGCTCTAAGAAAGAGTTCAACTAACATTCTGTAGGTTACTGAAGTGTCACGTCAATGAGCCTTTGAAACCTGTGATTCAAAGCAGAAGTTTTTTTCCTTTCACCTACTGAATGAGTAGCTTGCAGTCTCTGATTGACTCCCCATCTGACATGCAGCAAGAAAAGCTCTCTCTACAGTACCTCACTACAGGCAGCTATCCAGAGTCCACAGCATTATGAGGTGTGTTTTTTGTTGTTGTTTTTGAAATACAGGCAGCAACAAACAATCTGCATTTTGGAGTCCAAAAAGAACTTGTTCTGCTGCAGACTTGCATAGATTGATGTCAAAGAGGCGTGTCAGTCAGGTTTACAAACTGAGGAGATTGAGTAATCACTATGGACACAGTTTTTATACTTTTCTGTTTGTTGGTCTTGTGTGAAGGTGAAACTGTGCAGTTTTCAGGACTTCACTCTTTAATCCCTTGTCTGTTTTGCTTTGCTTAGGATCTTATTCTTTTACATGATTGTGCGATTTTGATCAAGGCACTTAGAAAGTAGTTTATGATGGACTCTACTGGACAATGGAGAAAATATACCATTTTTATGTTTCATGTTTTGGTAAGTTGATCTATTGGCTCATATGTTACAGCACTGAAAGTAGAGATTTAAGATACCTGATTGCAACCTATGTTTAGCTATATCGATATGTCAAATATTTTAATCTTTGTGCATTTAAATTAATCAAATGTTGCCTCTTTAGGCACGTTTAAGAAGAAACTGAGGGTCATATCTTTCTTTTTTCCTTGTGGTTCCTCAGGTCTTTAATACTGCATTCTCTCATGAACTGTCATCTGGAAATACAGTGAATGTGAGCAGTGAGAGGCAGTTTGCAGATATCACGTTAGGGCAGCATACAGCTCCCTTCTGGTATCATACATCTGTTGATGCTGTCCCCAAGCGTGGCAGAGTCGGATTACAGTCTCATAACAGATGGCGAACACAGATGGCTTCCTCCAGAACTGTTTACTCATTTAAAGTGAAAGAAGACACAGTGCCAGGTTTGTCAACTGCAGCAAGGCCTTCCTTGTGTAAATTAGGCAGTCAATAATATTTGCTGACAGTAGTTAATTTGAGTATTATGATATTTTTTTGAAAACATTTTTACTATCCTCATTTCTAATATTTACCATAGTTAAGGTCCTGTCATGTTTGATAATGTTGCCACACGTTTTCTTTCGCCTCCACTGTCACCCAGTAATTATGCATAATCTAATGTGTTGACAGGAACAGTTGTGGGAAAGGTGGAAACAGTGTTTGAGAGTCTCACGCATATCACATATTCAGTGCAGGAGGATGATGGAGAGAACTTGTTCCTCCTCAGCCCCCTCTCAGGGGAGTTCCTATTATCCCGCAGCCTGGATTTTGAAGCACAAAGATTCTACATTCTCACTGTGGCAGTGCAGGAGGGGGATTTGCAAGTGTCGAGTGTCAGAGTGTACTTTAATGTGTTGGATGTGAATGACAACCCCCCTGTTTTCAGTCAGGATACCTTTTATGCATCACTACTGGAAGACATACAGGTTGGCACTTGCTTCTTGTCCTTGAATGTGTCAGACAAAGATGATGGTAAGTGGACAAAGTACATCTGAAATACAACATTCAACATTCATTAGATGCCACATTTTATAGCTTCTGTGGCATTTCAATCCTTGATTAGAGGATTTTAAAACTTTTTTTTTAATTAGCTGGGAAAGGTTGTGGGTCATGAGGCCGTTCAGTTTGCAGGTTTTTGGATATTTAATTGATTTTTCTTCCAAACTAAAAACACACATGTTAGGGAACTACCCCCTCCAGTGGCCATGACCAAGAAACAATTTGCATTAGGCTGGTGAGAATGAAATGCTGTCCATTGCTTCACCTGAAACAACATGTGCATGGACGAGCAGCACTGTCACAATGTACAGTGAGTTCACCATATAAAGGATGTAGAGATGTGCATAAATTAACAGCTAAAAATCTATTCAATGTTTAATTGCTCTTACACAGAGTTGGTTAGATTTTCAGAAAAAAATTAAGCACAAATATAAAATATACAATAGAAATTCTAGTTTTATGCATATTTGTAAAGACAACCTATTGTCTCTATACAAATTTCTGTCTAATCATACTTTACTGCTCATGTACTGCAAACACAGGATGCATTTTCACTGTTCAGCCTCTTTATCATATTGGATCTACTCCTCCAGCGAGAAATTTATGGGTCTGTGTGATTAACGGGGGTAAAATATAGAACTATGCCTGCATCAGCCAAAGGTAGTAAGGTGCTACAGGCATGCATGATAAGATTTTTTCGCAAAAGTTATATCATACTTATCATCAGCCTCATCTTTCAGGCTATCATAGCAATATAAGTGCTTCTTTTTTAATTGGATTCAACAGTTTGTGCCAAGCTCAGTCTATATGTCCAATGTGAAAAAATGAAACCTGCCATTGTTAAGTGTGAAAAGCTATATTCAATATTCACACATTTCTTGGCTATACAGGCAACACTAGCAAGTAGAATCCATACATGAATCTTGTTTATTTCTGTATTTATTTATTTGATTATGTCTGCTGCCTGATAATGTCATGTTTCATCAAGTGTATATTTTTTTACTTTGACTATCAGTGAGATCCTACATTTGGCCTCTTTTGTTAATGAATGCTTGATTAAAGTATATTATTATCCTATGCATTTAACAGCCAATAGTGCATCATGTGCAAAGTGCAACTCTTTGTTCCTTGATTTAGGCAGAACACCAAACCTCTGACAGAATGGCGTTGCATCAGTTGTGATAACATCATATTGTCTTTTCCTCTCTGCTAGGTGACAATGGAGACTTGAAACTGAGAATAGTTGGTGGGAATGAAGAGAGTGTTTTCTTTATAAACCCAATGGGTAGTTTATGCCTGATTGCAGAGTTAGACAGAGAGAGAAAATCCTCTTACAATCTGACTATGACTGCCAATGACTGTGCCCAGCCTGTGTTTTTACAACTCACCAGCACAGCACATGTTATTGTGGTGGTGAATGATGTCAATGACAATGCTCCATTGTTTGTGTCAGCCAAAAGTGCCTGTATACCAGAGGACACTGCACTTCATTCTGTTGTAATGACTGTACATGCCAAGGATGAAGACACTGGATCAAACGGGGATGTTTTATATTATTTAAACAGCACTTCTGATGGCATGTTCATCATTGAAAGTAGAAGTGGAAAAATGTACCTGGAGGAGCCATTAGACAGAGAACAATTAGATAGCCTGACTGTGACAGTGACAGCCACTGACAGAGGCTCACCCCAGCTGGCAACCACTATGAATCTCACAGTGCATGTTGAGGATGCAAATGACCATGACCCAGAGTTCTCACAAAGTATTTACAGCTTGACAGTTGGAGAGGATCTCCCCAGAGGAAAGAGCGTGTTTCAGGTTCAGGCTCATGATCAGGACATTGGGAAAAATGGCCAACTGCGGTACATGTTGACACACACGGGTCCGTTTGTAGTGGATGATGTTCGGGGTGTTGTCACTATAATGGAGCGACTGGACAGAGAGAAGGACTCAAACTACACATTAATCATAATAGCTGTAGATCAAGGCAACATACCCAGATCGGCTACTGCTACTATCATTGTCACAGTGTTGGATATCAATGATTTTTTACCCCTGTTTTCTCCAGAAACACTGGTAATAAATGTCACAGAGAATGCGGACGACCCATCTCAGCTTACACATCAGGTGCTACTGGGTCTCACATACCCTAAGAGTTCACTGATTGTTGCTAACAGAAATTTTTATGTTAATTGCTTGATTTTTTTTAAACTAGGTCTCAGCTTTAGATGAAGATTTAGGAGCCAACAGTCAGCTAACATATTTCATACAGAAAGGAGCTAGCAATGGGTTGTTTTCCATCACTCCCAATGGCACTTTCCAAATTTTGCACAGCCTTGACAGGGAGAAGGAATCACTCTATATCATCACCATCATTGCAGTTGATTCAGGTAATTTATGTTTAAGTTAAACAGCAAGGTATTGTATTAAATATTTATATAAGTTTATTTTTTGTACAAATTATTACCTCCAACAGTCTCTTCAAACAGTTTGTTAACAAATGTGACTTTGTCATTTGAAGGACTGCCACCTTTGACAGGTACTCTTACCATATATATTGCAGTGGAAGATATCAATGATAATCATCCAGAGTTTACTGAGAAACTTTACAACACCATAGTGTCTGAGGACAGTCCTACACACACTGTGTTTGCCATGGTGACTGCATCTGACATTGATGAGGGTGTCAGTGGGGAAATAAGGTAAAGTCACTTAAAATTGGAAAGCAATATTTAACAGCTGTTTTAGGAAGTAGAAATTTGTTTATAATTTATACTTGAGAAATTGCCATTCAATTTGCACATTTTTGTGGCCTTCTTTGATTCCACTGAAAAAGTATGGTATTTTTTTCCTTTAGGTATTTCTTGGAGAATGCCAGTGCTCCTTTTGGCATTGAGGAAACATCTGGAGAGCTGTTTACAACCAGTGTCCTGGACAGGGAGACAGTAGCTATTTACAGGTTGACAGTGATTGGCAGTGATAAGCATCCTACTCAGCCACTGTCAAGCTCAGTGCTTGTCACGGTACTTATTGGAGATATCAATGACCACTGGCCCCAGTTTTTGAACAGCCCCTATGTCGCCTATGTCCCCACAGAAATTGGTCCAGGTGAGAAATTTTACCTACACTTGGCAGTTATATATTTCAACCTGGGAAGGATTTTCTCAACAGAAGTCAGAGTAGTTTTAGTTTATTTTTGTTTTGTGTGTTTTCTTTCCATATAGGTGCAGTTGTTTGTGCAGTAAGAGCAACCGATGGAGATACTGAGATGAATGCCGAACTATATTATTCATTATATGGACAAAGTTCCGATCTGTTTTCCATCAATCCATATAGTGGCACTGTATTTGCCTTAAGTACTCTTGGGAGATTGGAAGATATTATTGTCAACATACATGTGGAAGATGCTGGAGAAAATCCTAAATTTGACATCACTACCATCAGTGTCAGGTTTCAGAACATCTCTGAGTTTCCTGAGATGAATGTGGATGTTCTGAGTCATTCCCTTTCTGAGGACACGCCAGTGGGAACATTAGTGGCCGTGGTCTCTGCAGTGAGTGTCAGAGCTGATGTTTCTTTTTATCTAGCGTCTGGAAACTTTGAAGATGTGTTTCATATGGAACAACTCAGTGGCGCGCTGACAGTGGAGAACCCTCTGGATTATGAGAACAAAAAGGAGTTTACTTTGTTGATAGAAGCCAGAGACTCTGGCTCACCTCCTTTCTCATCGTTTGCAGAAATTCATTTCACCATTAATGATGTGAATGATAACTTCCCCCAGTTCACTCAAGTTGAGTACAGGTGTGAGGTTTTTGAAAATTCCCCACCATCCTGGGTTTGTGATGTTCTAGCTATAGATGCGGATTCTGGCAGTTACAGCACACTGCACTATTATATAACAGAAGGAAACACTGATAATTTTTTCACAATTGACCCTGAAAGCGGTTTATTGAGCACCACTGCAAATTTAGATAGAGAATATATTCCTGAATTCAATTTAACAGTTGCAGCTTCAGAGCTAGACAACTCTTCTCATAAAGATTGTGCAACTGTTATCATTGTTGTTTTGGACAGAAATGACCACGCACCTCGTTTCTCACAGATTTTCAGCACACAGGTACCAGAGGATGCCCCAGTTGGACACACAATTATACAAGTCACCTCAACTGATGATGATGCTGGTGTCAATGCCCTTATTAATTACTACATAACTGACCAAAGTGATGATATGCCATTTACTATTGACTTCACTTCTGGTTATGTCACTGTTCAAAGACTACTGGACAGGGAGATGCAGGATCATTATATCTTGAATGTAAATGCAAATGATTCAGCATGGAGCATAAGCACAGATGTCACTATAATCGTTACAGACATCAATGATAATAGGCCTGTATTTTCGGATCATTTTTACACCACTGTTATCCCCGAAACAAAAGATAAAGAAGTTTTTGTCCTGCAGGTTCATGCAACAGATGCAGATACTGGGCAAGACAGTGAGATTTTTTATGTAATTCAACCTCCGAATGAAAAGTTTTGGGTGAACTCTTCCTCTGGTGAAATCTATACAAAGCAGCTATTGACATTACATAATCATTCTTTTGAAATCTTTGAATTTACAGTCTTTGCTTTTGATTGTGGCAATGCTCCCCTGTACAGTAACACCTCTGTTGCAGTAAGACTGGAACCTTATAACCACCACCCACCAATGTTTTTGCCTGTACAGCCGCTGATTGCAATACCATGTCACATGGCTGTGGGAACTGAGGTGGTCCAACTCACAGCAATAGATATGGATGTCAGTAATAGCAGTGCTAATATTGAGTATGTTTTGAATGGAGGTAATGCATCTGATTTCTTCAGAATCCATGCTGACAGTGGAAAAGTAACATTAAATCAAACTTTATTGGAAAGCATAAATTTGTTTCTCACTTTAATAGTTGTGGCAAAAGATCAGGGCTTTCCCTCTTTATCATCACAGACTAAAATCACTTTTGAAATTACTGGGGAGAATCAATTTTCTCCAAGCTTCAGTGAGCCAGGTATCATCTTCTCGGTCCCTGAAGACTTGCTGGTAGGATCAGTAATTGGTAAAATTCAAGCAGAAGATGAGGATGATGGTCCCAATGGTGCCATTAGATACTGCATTGCTCCAGAAAATCATTATTTACAATTCTCTGTGGGTGAAGCCTCTGGGCTGCTAAAACTGATCACAGAACTTGACTTTGAAAAACAAGGTATTTATCATTTTCAAATCAAAGCCATGGATAGTGGCTGGGTTTTTAAAAATGGCATGTTAAATGTTACCGTGGTAGTTATGGATGTGAATGACAACCCTCCAGTCTTTCCATCTGCAGAGTATCTCACTTCAGTGCCTGAAAACTCAGAAATTGGTACAAATGTTCTAGATGTAAAAGCTACTGATGCTGATTCAGGTGCAAATGCACATATATACTATTCGCTTATTGCTGGCCATGTAGATAAATTTGCAGTTGACTCAAGAAATGGCACAATCATCACTTTGGACATCTTTGATTTTGAGGAGGAGCAGATCTTTGATATAACAATCAAAGCTTCAAACACTGGCAGTCATGCTTTATTTAGTTTGGTACATGTAGTCATAGAAATCTCAGATGTCAATGAGTTTACCCCTACATTTAAGAAGAAACAATTCAACTTTTCAGTATTTAATAATGTGCCTGTAGGAACTAGAATAGGACAAGTAACAGCTACAGATGATGACCAAGGCTCTCAAGGTCTGGTGTTTTACCTGATGTTTGGCCAAAACAAAAACATGGGGTTTGAAATTGAGACACTTTCTGGAGAAATATATACAACAAGCAGTTTAAGGAAGCAAAGCAACAGTGATGTAGTTATCAAAGTCCTAGCAAAGAACTCTGGTGTTATTACTGGCATGGATGTAGATGAGGCTTTGGCTCACATCAGTGTGATCCACACAAATGACGCACCCATGTTCACCTCTGCACTTTATTTGGTGAGTGTGGCAGAAGACAGCCCTGTTGGGACTTCACTGGCAACTGTGAGTGCCCTGGACCAGAACTCTGTCTTAGACTGGAATAGTTTCTTCTTCAGTATTGAAAGTGGAAATACAAATTCATCTTTTGCTGTTGATCCATCCACCGGTGTGATTTCAGTAAACTCTCTGCTCGATAGAGAGCTCTGGCCAGTTTATAATCTAACTGTTACAGCCACTGATAATGGATCTCCACCAGCCACTGGGACTACTAATGTCATTGTGACTATTGGTGATGTTAATGACAATGCTCCTAAACTCACATTAACTGAGGCTCAGCTGAAGGAAAATCAACCTGAAGGCACTGTAGTAGCCAGATTAGATGCATTTGATTTGGATTTGCCAAAAAACCAGGGACCTTTTACATTCTGGTTGGTAAGTCCTTCAGAGGGGAGTGCCTTCTCCTTGACTCCTGATGGAGTTTTATTGACCACAAGGCCCACTGATCGGGAACAAATCTCTACGTATCAAATTCTGGTGGCTGTTAGGGATACAGGGATTCCTCCACTGTCATCTACAACAATGTTCCACATCAGTATTGTTGACGAAAACGATAACCCTTCTCTGCCTAGAAACATCTTCATTGAGGTGAAATACTTTGGCAGCTCTTTCCAAGGAGGCATGATCGGTAACGTCCATCCCGAGGATCAGGATGAGTCCGACACATTCAGCTGCAGCATCAAAAGTGGGCCGCAAAACATGTTTACGATACCGAATGGGACATGTGAGTTGTTGTCTTCTTCTTTTCAAGGCGAGGCCACATTTAACCTTACTATCGAAGCTACAGACCAGCTTCACATCCCAGTCAACAACAGCATCTATGTAAACTACAAAGGTTTCACAAATGCTTCTATAGACAACTGCATATTATTCTATGTGGCATCGTCCTCAATGGAAGAGTTTTTGTCTCATAAGTATCTGAAGTTCGTGAAAGCTCTGGACAGTCTGTTTAACCTACAGGCCTCTAAGACTCATGTATTTGGAATCAAACACATTGGAAGTGAAATTCTTCTCTTTGCTGCAGTCAAAAGTTACAACGGTCAGTATCTTAGTAGAGAGGTAGCCAGTGAGATCTCTGCCGGACATAAGAAATTACTGGAGGCTCAGAGCAATGTGACGATTTCCCACATCAACAGTGATCCATGTCACACCAGCCCTTGTCAGAATGGGGCTATGTGCCACAAAAATATCTACATCAGTCAGGATGTGGCTGTCCTGGAAAGCTTGGCGGTCATCTTTGTGTCACCACAGAAAGAGGTTTTTAACTGTACCTGTCCAATTGGCTTCACCGGGACGCTCTGCGAAGGTGACACTGATGAATGCGAGGTGGATCCTTGTGAAAATAAAGGCACATGTGTTAATACAGCAGGAAGTTTCTACTGTCATTGTCAGAGTGGGTTCTCTGGCTCTGTCTGCTCTATTGATCTAGATGAATGCCTGAAGGTGAAGTGCCAAAATGGAGAAACTTGTATTCCAATACAGGGTGTGTGCCTGGAATAGAAGGTAGACTTTGATATATTAAAAATACATTATTCGGCATGAATACAGGAAACAGTCTCTTTTCTTTTTCCAGGAAAAATGTGTGAGAAGTTCATAGACCACTGTAGATCAACCCCCTGTGGTCAGGGCAGTTGCATTAATTCACAAACAGGATTCTCTTGTCATTGTCCTTTTGGTAAGAATAATGCATATTCCCAGTAAATTCAGAGAAATTTGTTTATATGTGTTCTTGCAGAAAGATAGAGGAGAAGAGCTATACTATTCTTCTAGCTGTCAATTAAATCTAAGACTACAGTTAAGAGCCATTTAGCTTAGCTTAGCATAAATATTTGAAACAGGGGTAAACAGTCAGCCTTAATCTGCCTACCACCCTATCTCTCACTATCTCTACCACATTATCTCTCTGAAGTAATTAAGTGTTCTTTTCAAAAGGTTGATCTGTTCAATTACAATTGCAATTACATGCATATTTGTGCCCAAACTACAACTGAACAGCTTATTTATGTTTAACCTCTGTTTCAGGAGTCAGTGGAATGCACTGTGAAGAGCACAGTTATGGGTTTGAGGAGCTGTCCTTCATGGAGTTTCCCCCATTAGATCGCAGGATTAATTTAATCTCTTTAGAGTTTGCGACAGTGCAGAGGAACTCTCTCCTCCTGTACAACCCTGGAGAATCCACCAGTAGGGAGTTCTTTGCACTGGAGCTGCTGGATGGAGCCATACAACTCTCTTATGACCTAGGCTCAGGACCTGTGAGGCTGCAGACAAACAAACAAGTGTCAGATGGGTATTTTCACAGCGTCACTGCCAGAAGGATTGGTAATGTGAGTTTTAAATGTCAGCACATACAATTAATCAGACAGCAATTAGTCCGACAACTGAATTTTAAATTACTAATGCAGTGCTATTGCCATTTAACAGACGGGGTCTTTACATGTGGACAACTGCACAGATGTTGAGAACAATGGATTCTGTTTTTCACAGAGTGATCGTAGTAGCTCAGAGAGGTAGCAGTGAAACAATAATTCCTACTATTCATTATTTATAATTTCTCATTGTATGTCAGCAGCTTTCTGTCTTTATCTCCAATCAGGACACTAGATGTTGGCAACAGTAATATGACATTTGGAGGACTGAGGACTGTTGACTTTATTCTACTGCATCCCGCTCAGATAAAAACCCATGACTTTGTTGGATGTATTAAAAATATTCATGTCAACGGCATCATGCTGAAACCTTCAATGGCTCTTGCGACATATAACATACTTGCTAGGTGAGCTTACTAAGTTTAAAGCATGTAAATGTTTTAGGTAAACAAACAGCTTACTCATTATTAAAGTATTTTTGTATTTAATCCAGAAAATGTATCACTGTCATTTTTGTCTGTAAATACATTTCAGCAACATGTCTTTTATTTTATATTTGTATTATAAAGGTGTCCTCGAGCACCAATGCCACCATGTCGCAGCAGCCCTTGTAAGAATGGTGGCGTGTGTCATGATCTTTGGTCTGACTATCTTTGTGAGTGCAAAATCCCCTTTACTGGAAGCAACTGTGCCAAAGGTAAATAAGTAATATATACATATATACGTTATATACAGTACTGTGCTAAAATTGTAGGCCATAAATAATTTGTACTTATCCTACAAAGTGCAGTAAACTGGTATTTGGTAGGTTGGCTGTAAGGCATATATAAAGCCACATATTATGAATCAAAGATATATTTTTTCTTTTTTGAACAGAAATCTCAGAGGAGTTTGTACTGCAATTTAATGGGAGCCAATACATTGAGTATGTCATCAAGGAAAGGATCAGGAGGGACTACCTGCTAAAAAACTTGCTGGATAATAAAAAAGAGATAAACACCAGAGGCCAAACAGTGATTAACATGAAGTTCACAGCTAAAGACAATGGAGTGTTAATGTCTGTCCTCCAACAGACAGGATATTTCATGCTCAAGGTAGTTATGAAGCACTTTTATAGAGATATTTGCTCATTTTATATTTATGTTTGGAGTGTAAAGCGGATTTTCTCTAATTCAGGCAAAAGACAAAAAGCTTGTGTATACCTCCAAAGATACTCTGACAGGACATGTGTCAGAGTTCACCGTGGACTCTCCAGTGACTGACGGGGTCTGGCATGTCCTCTCCCTGCTGAATGGTGGACAAAGCATTTTTCTCCTTCTGGATGGTAAACCAGTCCTGAACATCACTAACCAAAGTATGGATCTCACTCCTGTTATTGTGGAAAGGATTATTCTTGGTGCAATTCTCACTGGTGACTCAAAGCTCCAAGAGTTAGGTGAGATTTGCAGTTACTTATTATCATCTAACAATATGTGTCAAAATATAGTATGTAAATCTAAAAGAAAGGTGCATCTTTGTAGCATGTAAGCTAACTGTAACTGTCCTATATGAATTTCCTTATTCTTCAGTGTTTCTTGTTGTGTCTTGCCCAGTGCTGTAATCTCTCAATTGCGTGCTCTTCATCTGGTGAGGGTAATAATGACTTATTGCTTTATTCCACCTCATATGTGAGGTTTCATCAGGTTAGGTGTTGTGTCAGGTTAGGGCAGGTTGTTTCGTATGGAAATAGAGAACTGCGTTCGTACTATATTCAGTTCTTTCTCTCTTACATTCATATTAAACTTGTAGAATAATTAGTGAGAAGTGAAGCAAACACCCAGTTTTCCCTTCTGTGTAAATAGATCACCCCAAATACAACCATTGCAAAGTGACATGAAGTGGTTAGCTGGCAAACTCCTTTCAGAAATCTGTACACTAAAACTTTACTCTTTTTATGACAGGGTTCACTGGATGTGTGCAGTATTTCAATGTGACTGGTTACACTCTTCCTGTCAGTGGACACAGTGTTATGGTGGACATCAGGCCAAGCTCAACGCTTGTCCAGTCCACCTGCAGCTCTCCAGGTGTCTGCCTCCCCTCGCCTTGCACTGAGGACGTCACTGCCAAGAGAGGTTGTCTCTCTGCACACTGTCAAAACCAGCGGAGGTGTGGACCTTCTATGCAGAACCAGTCCTGCATTTGTTTACATAATGTCTCTTACCACATCTGTGGCATCTGCATCTCTACAACAGAGAGCCGTGATCATTGCTATGAGGCGCAGGGCAGCGTGCCTCTGTGGCTCATAGCTGTGATTCTTCCTCTGATCTCAATCCTGGTGATTACAGTAATGTTTGTGTCTCTTTACAAAGTTAGGCAACAGAATGCAAAGTGTCAGAGTGATAGTTTGCCAGCAGAGCAAGGTACAGACAATGTAGCTTTTTGTTTTGATGACAACAGATCATTCATAGATGCTGCATTTGAGGAAAAAGATAAACATGACCCAGTGACTGCTGATCAGCAGAGGTCAAATGCAGAGTTTTATTGTGATCTGAATCTTTCAAGTGTTCAGCTGGCGTCAAACAGTGAGCTGGAATATTGTGAAATCAGCAGCATCTCTAGTGCATTTAATTCAGACACTGAATCACTCAAGCTTAGCTGGCACACGCAGTTGTACAGCACAAAGTGTGTGAAAGCTGATTCTAAATGGAAGGGAGATTTGAAGATGCTAATAACAGGATTTCAGAAGGAATGCTTCAGTGAAGAGAAGGCAAAAGGTTCTTTGAAGCCTAAAAATGAGGCTTTGATAAACAAGCATTTGTTGGCTAAGACTGATGCAGAGAAGTCTCAGCATACATCACCTTGTTACATGAAGAGGTTCCTCCGTCCAGAACTCCTGGAATCTGTACAGTGCCTCACTTTTGAAGAAATTAGTAAACTAAACACTGCCCTGGAGGAAACAATGTCGCATAGAACGTCCCTGGGGATGATGATGAACCATGTCTCATCTGACAGTGAAACAGACAGCACATGCACCTGCTTGGAGCCCGAGTATAGACAGATTTCTTTGTCCAACTCCAGAAAATATTCACTTGACCAGTCATCGCTGCCAGTATGTAACTTGAGGCAACAAGACAATATACCCGTAAACACATTATTCAGACACAACTGCGGCTCTGCTGCAGGTCACCCTGAGGCTAAGAGTACTTCCTTGAGCATGCCTGCACAATGGGAAAAATGTTTAAATATACACTTAACTTTTAGCAGCTATGCTCCCATATTTGAAGATATTGCACATCTACCCATTGAACCCAGTCATTGCTATGATATGCAAAGTGACATAGAGGAAATTATTTGATAGATATTATATACAGGGGGCAAATAAGTATTTAATACACTGCCGATTTTTCAGGTTTTCCCACTGACAGAGAATGGACAGATCTGTAATTTTCATCATAGGTACACCTCAACTGTGAGAGAGAGAATCTACAAAACAATTCCAGAAAATCGCATTGTTAGATTTTTAAATAATTTATTTCCATTTTATTGCATGAAATAAGTATTTAATCACCTACCAACCAGCAAGAATTTTGGCTCTCACAGACCTGTTAGTTTGTCTTTAAGAAGCCTTCCTATCCTCCACTCACTGCCTGTATTAATTGCACCTGTTTGAACTCGTTACCTGTATAAAAGACACCTGTCCACACACTCAATCTATCAGACTCCAACTTCTCCACTATGGGCAAGACCAAAGAGCTGTCACTAGGGACAAAATTGTAGACCAGCTTGGTGAGAGGGCAACGACTGTTGGCGCAATTATTAAAAAATGGAAGAAATTCAAGATGACCGTCAAACTCCCTCGGACTGGGGCTCCATGCAAGATCTCACCTTGTGGAGTATCAATGATCCTGAGAAAGGTGAGGGATCAGCCTAGAACTACAAGGGAGGACCTGGTCAATGACCTGAAGAGAGCTGGGACTGCAGTCTCAACGGTTACCATTAGTAACACACTACACCGTCATGGCTTAAAATCCTGCAGCGCACACAAAGTCCCTCTGCTCAAGCCAGCACATG